TATAAGAAGATAAGCTTGCTAATAACTAAGTGAAGATTTTTTTCTCTCATATGTAGTGCTTTTAGGTATTAGAAGATATGCTTGCTAACAATTGAGCGGGATAAATTTCTATTTCATATGTTGTTTTGCTTAGTATATAAGATAAGATAAGCCTACACCAACAATTGAGCGGGAATTCTCTTTCATTTTTTAAAAATATGATAGTAATTTATAGAATGCTATACTGATATTGTATGGATGTATTCATGTTGTGATGTAGGCGCCATTAACAAATTAAGATGTCTTAATAGTTTGAGTTTTCTTTAAGCTAATTTAGTTATACTTTCTAAACATTGGCCGTGTTTGTTTTTCGGCATGTGGGTGCAAAAACGCTGCATTTTGCAGCGTTTGTAATTATAAAAAGTAGGCATTTTGGAGTAAAAAGCTGTCATCCAAACACCTTCATTATCTGAGAACTTGAAACCCTGACATGAGTTCTATGAATAGTTCCAAAGATTACAAATTTACTCTAGACATTGTAAGAAAGTTGCTTTTATTTTGACGTTTCTTTTGCTCTATTATCTTTGATATTCATATTAGTTCACCTGTGGGAACCATTTACAAAGCACAAGCTTTCCTCTAGGGTGTTATATAATTACATTCAAGTGATATTCATTAATTTTAATATTATTCACTTAAAATTTATGTCATTCACTTATTGTATTCACTTTTTTAGAATAGTATTTTATTTTAAATTAATTTAATCATGAAAATAAATAGGTTGCCAATTCTAATTAATAATGGGATATTTTGACTTTGCACCCCACTTTTTGGGTGATATTAGACTTTGCATCCCATTTTTAAAACTCTTAGACTTTGCACCCTATTTTCCCTAAAATGTCTTTGCCTTTGCACCTCATCCAGGAAATTTTCTTCACAAAATGTTGTAGATAGAGTGCAATGTCTAAAAGTTTTGAAAATGGGATGCAAAGTCCAATATCACCCAAAAAGTGGGGTGCAAACTCAAAATTCCCTGGTTAGACAGGGACATGAACGGGACCTATATCCCTATATTTTAAGTTAGACAGGCCAAACAAAAACATCCAAGGAACTCCAAGGTAATTCCTTAAGAAAAACTTCATAAGGAGGTAAGTGTGTAACTACATTATATTTCATCCCTAAGCCTAAGGGTAGACATTGGACACAATCCGATTTCAGATGGTTCTAGAAGAACTTGGAGGCCCGTGACCCATACCTATATTTTCAATAACGAGCGGGCCAAACAGAAATGTCCGAAACAATTCCTTAAAAAAACTCCGTAAAGCAAACCATTGTTAAATGTTAAGATATTTTCACTTGGACTTGGTTCAATCACAATTTAGATCAAAATTTAACATATTAGATCAGGCCAAATCGGATTTTGGCAATTGTAAAACACAGAAATATGATGTCTACAAGATCAGACTAGACCAGATTAAACGAGAAATTCCGGTCAAAGTAAAATCCTTAATCTTCAATACCTTAAGTTACGGTCCATACAAAAAATAACTTAAGTTACGGTTAATAATTTAAAAAATCTGTTTTGTTTCGAATGTTTGATTTGAACGCCACAAGTTCTTAAATTAAATTAATATATGCGAGCTTATATTAAATAGGTATAAAAATATACTCCCTTCGTCCCAAAAAATTGATCAATTTGACTTTCTTAGTCAATGATGTTAAAGTTTAGATATTGATTTGAAGTATTTGTGTATAATTTATAAATTTTATACTTTTATGAAAGATCTTTTAATAAAGAATATGCTCATATAATTTTCATGTTTTAAATGAGTATGTGTATTTTTGAGAAGAATAATCAGCTTATATTAAAATATCAAAAATCCGAACAGTACTAGTATTAGGACCAGAACCAACAGATAAGCTAAAAAAATGAAGCAATCTGTGAAAAAAGAATTACCAGTCACCCAAGGCAAAACACACTCGGTGAAGAAACCAACTACAATCCTTAAATAAAAAGCATAGAGAAAGCAACGACATCGATCAAGATAAACAAAAGAGCCACATCTAGGCAGGCCTAGAAGCCTAGACCCGTCTCCATGTTTTTTGGTTTGTAGATCACCATTGCACCATTTTGTATTAAAAAATATCATTAATCATACTTAACAACCATTGATCAAGAAAAGTAAATTTGGTCAATCTTTTTGGAACAGAGAAAGTAGATATTTGAAGCCAAATGTTAGTACTGTTTTTAAAGTTTATACAACCATGACTTTGATATTTTGTGATTAGTATTTAAGACTTTTGAATCAATGGATTAATCTAACTATTTTGTGATTAGTATACATTCTAACTAAATTCATGTTAATCTTAAAACAAAAAGATAACAAAGCATCTAGAGGACTACACGGTCTGAGCCAGTTCCAGACCGGCCAGTATGAAAATAAATATATGGAGGCCCAAGACCACGACCTCTATTTCCAGGCCCTAGCAAGTTCCAATCCCCAACCAGTCCTGGTTCAGTCCCAAGCTTTCCATCATTTGCAATGGAACCAAAGATTCATTATTTTTTGGCTTGAGATTATGATGAAATAAAGCAGAATGTCTCACTAAACTGTTTGCGCTTCTTTGTTATGAAGCAGCAGTCTGTCCATGCAACTTTGGACGGAATTTTCACTATGGAACATCCGAAAACAGTCTCTCTGTGCTTTAGTACAGGGGTAAGACTGCATACATCCAACCCCCTTACCCCACAGTAGGTGGGAGCCTTTGCGGCGCTAGGGTAAATGAAAATGAAAGTTTACTGTTAAACCCTCTTTTTTGTCTACACCTCTTTTAAGCCTTTAAATGGACTATACACCCTTATGAAATGTTTTGCAATGGTTTAATAGCAAAAAAAAAATGAAATCAGTCCAAACCCAACTGGTCCCGATCTCAAAAAATGGAGGCTCGAGGCCTCTTTCCCATCAGTCTCGGTCCCGGTTCAAAACCAGTTAACCAGGTGGTTCTGGTCTGGTCCAAGCCCAGAACTGGGTCCTCTTTCCCACGAACCCCACCGGTATGGTTCCAATCCCACACCGGACTCTTATTTTCTGGTCTCAATCTAAATTCAAAACGTGCAGTTCCTGTCCAATTCCATTCTAAGACTGGGACCGAGTCCACAATACTAGGGATATTGAGGATATTCTCTTCAATAAATCCTTGTTCCAAAAGGTGGAATCTCCCATCCCAGGAGCCCCCCACCCGACCCGACAAGATGGTGGGGAGGTTAGTCACGGTGACTCAGTCAGCAGAATGGCAGTAGACCCATACACCCGTGCGCACCAGAGGACCAACCTTATTTCAGATTATGTGATCTCCACCCGGTCGCTGCGGGGATTCAAACCTTGGTCCATTGTGCCAAATCTCCCACCACTCGACCAACTAAGCTACCCGTGCGGGTTTCTCTTCAATAAATCCTAATACCACCTAGGGATGGACTAAACCGGGCCGGCCGGGCCCAGAACCGGCCCGGAACCGCTACTGTGCGGGCTCGAAGGTTTGGGGGTAGGGGGGGTCAGAGGATAACAAGTAAGGATGGACTCGGGCCAGGTGGCCCGACCCGGAACCGGCCTGGACCGGTACTGTTCCGGCCCGGCCCGGCCCGGTTGCCCGGTCAGTGACCGGTCCGGGTAGGCCCGGCCCGTGGGTTTTCCGGTCCGAGCTCGGGTCACCCAAAACAAGGCCCGACCAGGCCGGGCACGATTCGGGCCAAAAACTATTTTTTTTTTCAATTTTTTTTTGGAATTTTCGGGTTGGGCTGGGTATTTTGGGCCATTTGGGGTGGTTTGGGGGTTGGGGGTGGGAGGGGGAAATCACGTACATGAGAAGAACACACAACTTTCCACTAACAAGTCCATAATAATGAATTAATGAACGATACAAATTAGATATATGTGAATTATGACTAATTAACTAAAATATCCTCATGATACTACCCGTATTTCCCATGAGGAAGGGTAATTCCTATTCCTAGTGATGGATTCGGTTCGGGCCACCCGGCCCGTGACCCGGCCCGGCCCGGTACTATGCGGGCCCGGGACCAGCCCGGTCAGGCGGTCCGGGACCGGGTATGGGCCCGAACCGGGGGGAAGGGGTGGGGCGATCTCGGTTCATCATTTTTGTGACCCGGCCCGGCCGGGTCGGGCCCGGGCCCGGGTCCGGGTCTATTTTAAAAAAAAAAAAACTTTTTTTTTTATTTTTGGCTACTAGCCGTTGAGGGCTTGGGGTGGGGCTGGGGACAACCCAAACGGCTATATAGCCGTTGGGTGGGGTAAAGGGGGGGTCCGGGGGGGTTGGCTGGTAGGGGGGGTTGGGGGTAAAAAACCTATAAATTCTCCTACTCTTAAACATTTTTTCATATCTCTTCTCCAATTCTTCCTAAATCCTATTCTTAACTCTCTACTCTCTAATTCTCTTATTCTCCAATATATTATATATCTACTCTCTAATTCTCTTCTCCAAGAAGTTAAGATGGAAAATCAAAATGTCATTATACGGTATAATTTTGATAAGCAGAAGGACCCGAAGACCGGGATGTGGTACGCAATTTGTAAATGGTGCGGAAAAAAATGTATTATGGGGGCTTCAGGCGGATTCGGGATGGCAATCAAGCATATGAAGTCATGTGACAAAGCCAAAGGATCGGGAGGTGCGGGAAGTTCCGATTGATTACAATTTTCAAAATGTTTATCTCTTAAAGTTTGTTTTAATTTTCAAATGTAGTACCTATTTCATTTCAAATAAATGCAATTGAAGTTTGTTTTTAATACTCGTATAAAACTATAAACTATAAAATATAAAATATAAATTATAAAAAAAAAATAACCGGCCCGGCCCGAACCGGACCCGACCCGTGACCCGGGCGGGTGGCCCGGCCCGAACCGGACCCGTCCAACCCTCGGGCCGGTCCCGGGCCCACTGTTCTTGAACCGGCGGCCCGACCCGAATCCATCCCTACCTATTCCCTAGTGTTCTTAAGAACCGCTTAAAATAGTTTGATACAGATACAATTATGGTGTACTATTCATACCCAAACAATTTGGTTGACACATTTAGTTCATAGTTCATACCCAAACAATTTGGATAATACATCTAAATAGCATAGCACAATTACATGGCATAATTACATTTCAGGAATCTCACTTACCCGTGAATTTGGGAAACCGTTAGGATTTTTTGGGATAATAACCCGCCTTTTATGGATAAAACCCCATCTTTTATGATAACACAATATTAATGTATAAAATGACTTGCAAAGTACTACGTAAAGAAGATCCTCTAGCAACCAGAATCACATAAGACGGCCCACATATTGAGCTCGAGGATATTTGCTTTTTAAGTAAGGCCATTGAACAAATAATTGATCTGCCATACATAGTTTGTAAAGGAGCAAACCACTCAAAGATAACCTTCTCACTCTTGCGATGCTTTCAACATAGAATACGGATGACCAACTGATTCCAAGCACCTATACATAACAGAAACAAAAACAAAAACTAAGAAATAACCTAGTTAAGTTTTAAATATTAGAGGCGTTCATCAGTTTGGTTTTGTCAGTCTTGGGCTTAGTAAGTTCCGCTTGGATTTTAATATGCAAAACCAAGAACCTAACCAAGTGGCTTAAGTCGGTTTAGATGTGGTTATGTTCCCTTGCTTTGTGCCTGAATCAAGATAATTAATCTTTTATTACTAGTATACTACTATGATAACACTTGACATACATATTCATGTGATCTTTAGTTGAGATCATAATTAATGTTGTTGAGGGTTCATTATGTGCATATCTTTGTCAATCATAATTAATTCAATGCTTGACAATCTTAAAGCCAAATTATTTCAACTCTAACCTCTCCATTGCTTAACATCCCCTTATTTTTAGTAAAATGATTTCACCTCATACCTAAGCACCTAACAAATTGCACCTGTTGATGCAATTTTCTAAGGCAAACATACCTTGAAAAAAAATGCAATTACACAAAGTGGGATACATGTTCCAGGGCCATTACAGAGAATCTGCATTAGAAAGGAAGTTCAGCATGCATTCTTCTATGTTAAGATTTGTTTTATAACTCAGAAATCAACAGAAGGATAATATGCAGATCTATTATACCACTTCAGGTCTGATTTTGATCAATAACCACAACCCATGAGCTATAGCAATTAATGTTGTACCAACAGATGTAATGTATGACTGGCCAACCTCTCGGCTTCTATATATTTGCATGAAGTGCGCTGTTCCAGCCACCTCAGTCCCTTCCTACAACAATAGATTCAAAAAAATCAATTATTTGAACAAGATAAAGGATAGACAAAACAGAAATAATGATATGGGAAGAAGACTGAATTCTTTTGGGATGCTCTTCTATTTCATAAATTTAAAGTAAAAAAAAAACTTACTCAATGTGCATTTGGTTCACGAAATGTAAGATTACCTTGAATAATGTTATAATCTTCAGGAAGGTAATGTAGAATTATGGGAACACAAGATTACCTAGCTAATAAGATTACCTCTTTAATGTAAGATTAAATGAATGTAAGGTCACACGGTGCAAAAACCTGACTTAAGGGCAAAAATGATATATATTACCAGAGTCATCTTATAATGCCGAATAACCACATGGCAATAAGATAACCCCCATAATGATCTCATTCTCCTATGCATCGTTGACTCAAGTCTGAATTAACCAAGGTAACCTGAAATTAGGTTCCTAAATCCTAACATTACTCACCTATGAATCTATGATCACTTGAACTAAATGTCTCCTCCAGAAATTATCATCTTACAGAAAAAAATCACATTCCAAAATGCACAAAGAAGGTTGTGGCTGAATCTTTCCTGTTGTAATGAAGGTATAGGTACCATACGTATCACAACTATCATCTCTTGAAACGATTTTAGAAAGATAGTGCAATTAATTTTCATTCAAACTACCTTGTTAAGTAAAGAGTCCTCAAAACCTTGGGCCTTTTGGAGACTCATATTATCAGTTGCAGCAGCAACGTAGAACCTTGGCTTAAACCTGTCATCTTGAAGTGCAGACAACAAGTTCATCATTTCTGCCGTGTGACCACCTGCATAAAAATGAATACCAGATATCAGGAGCGAAAAAAGGAATAATGAAAGGTTAAACATTTGCAGATTTTGGCAGGATCCAATTAGCACCTGAACCCAACACAATGAGTGTCTTCAGGGGCCGTGATGGTCTGGGTTGACGTGGCTTGCTGCTTTGGTAAATGACAAAAAGAACCCTAATCAAAACAATCGTCACCGCACCAATAAAGAGAGGGATTGCAGCATTGCCATTATCCATCATGATCGTCTTATCTTAATCTCAACATCCCATGCATAAATTTTCCACGGCCATCCGCACTGGTTACCTATCTTGTATCTTCTCCTAGAACCTCATCACCACAGTTCGAGTTTCTTCCTTTACCTGTTTCATTCAACATTTCAACCGATCCTGTGTTTTTTGCCGCTTATACTCAAGATCCCATCATGGGCTTATTTTAATACAACATTACATCCACCTTATTGTATACTTATGGAACACATTCACAACATAATGAAAGATGACTAAGTACAATAAGTACACATTATATTTTTTTACAGGACAGATTTTCATAATGTTATTAAATTATAAGAAAAACTCACAATTTAAACTAAAAAGATAGCCAAATTATATTGATTACCATCATCCAGTGTATTCATGTGGTATACCGTAAAAATGAAAAAAAAACGTACAGAAATTGCAAACAAAAAATCAGGAATTTCAAAATTGCAGATTAACGCAAGAATTTAAAAGGGGAGATTTCCCAAAATAGGATTAAATGGAGTTTGGAATTCCAAAATAGGACTACTGTGTTTTTATTCCCGAAATAGGACTAACATGGCAGTATTCACTGCCATCGTGTAGGTGTGACGCCAAATAGTTGTAGTAAAGTGCATTTAACATGTCAGTATTTATTATAATTAATGACAGTATTTTTCAATCATGGCAATAACAACTCCTATTTCGGGAAGAAAAACATAGCAATCCTATTTTGGAATTCCAAACCTCATTTTACTCCTATTTAGGGCAATTTCCCTTTAAACAAAATGTATGGATTAATTGGGCACTAGGTAGTGGTGTTCCAGCGTTGTCTACGTTAACAGTACGCAACCTTATTACGTATTAAAAAATAAAAGTTTAAGCTAATTTAAACAGAACGATATTGGAAAAACAATCAAGAGGTCCTCGTACTATCAATACGAAGCCTGATTAATTGAGTGTTCTTGAAGTACGAGTGCTTAATTTCCTGAATAATATTTAATACTTCCTCCATCCCAATTTGTATTACAAAATTTCCTTTTTTTATCGTCCCAAAATGATTTTTCACTTTCCATTTAAAGTATTGAAGTATGATTAAAGTGACAAGTTTGCCCTTGACTCTTTACCCTTCTAATCTGCCACCCGGCCGTATGTCCATCACTTTAACCCATCACTCTCACCCACCTTCTCAGTTCTCTCTCCATATTCCTATTCGAAGCATATCTGCAAATGGAGTTTTTCAAGTTCTCCATGGCTAGATTTTTTTCGCTAGTCATGATGCAGTCGAACAAAAGAAGGGGCTCTGGCTTGGTCATCAGCTCTGGCTTAGAGGAAGAATCAGCTCTCATCCTCCCTTGCTTGGTCCACCAGCTCCGTCTCCGCCGATAGTTCAGCATCTGAAAATCCCCAGATCCGACACACCTAGTTGACCGAGTCCATCGCAGATGAGTCGCCGCCACCCTCGGACAACTCTTACATAAATGGAAGACGATGGTCATTGAAGCTGGTCGGACCAGATGAGTCACTGCCGCCATGCTGCCCTCGGACAACCTTGCATATGAGTCACCGCCTCCCTCTTTGAAACAGATCTTGCATCGCGGGTCGAAGCCCCTGTTCACTGTCAGCCTGTCAAGTGCCAAGTTGTGAGAACCGTATTCTTTACCGGAGTACCTAAACGCCGGTGGTCCTATTTTTGAAACCAAACATTTGGCAATGGATGTATTTCCTTTGTGTTTCCTTTCGTATTGTAATGGTAAAACTGAATCATCATCATTCATCATCATTACCCCAGTGCCGCAAAGGCTCCCACCTACGGTGGTGTAAGGGGGGTCGGATGTACGCAGTCTTACCCCTGTACTAAAGCACAGAGACTGTTTCCGAATAACTCATAGTGTAGGAAATTGGGCAGGGTGAAGAAGTATTATCTTCCATTTCCGTATTTCCTTCCGTATTGCTTACTGGCAGAATGGTAAAGTGATTTTTTATATCTATACTTTCTTAATCCTTGTGTCGGTCAAATTTTGCAACTCAATTCGGGACGGGGGAGTAGTTAATACGGAATACAACAATCTCTTTAGGCATCGGAGGTCAGCAACATTCAGTTCAGCATCCAAGGGCGAGTGGTGTCGCCCACTTGAGTACTTGTAGTGTCGATTGAATCATTGAAGTATGTCGTCTCTCGTCAATGCCGTGTTCAACTTTTCAGAATCTTAGTCGCTATTTTTGAAGAATTGAGAAGATAATCAATCAACCAACTTACCTAGGGTCTACACAGAACAAGAAAACGGGCCTATTTTAATACGATTTTCTTAGACATGGGCATTGAACACTTAATATTATTTTATATGTGTCCAAAATTATAAAGACACGGATTAACTTTTTGTCCATTTACTTTGTATTAATCATTGTCTTGGTTATATGAATCAGTACGCAAAAACACTACTTTTTCACAAAACTTTCTGCGCTTCTTTGTTATGAAGCAACAGTCAGTCTGCAATTTTTTTACGTGATTTTCACTATGGGTCGTCCGGAAAAAACCTCTTTATACTTTTGTACAGGGGTAAGGCTGCGTACATCCGACCTCCCTTACCCCACCGCAGGTGGAGCCTTTGCGGCATTGGAGTGATGATGATGATGAAGAAGAACACTGCTTTTTCATTATATGACAAAATTTTAAACAAATATATGCAACCTACAAACTCATCTAATTGAAGTCGTATAGACTTGATATTTGTATCCAAATACGTTTCATGCTAAAGAAAGTATCCATATGATAAGTCTTTTTATATATTTAAAGGCATGGTACTTTTCTCATTAACAAATAGACCTCCCTTTCTATTTGGAGTGGCTATTCTCAATTCGTCACCTCAAATTCTAATATAAGAAAGATGGAAAGAACAGTGGAATAATTGGTGATCAGGAAGAAAAAAAGGAGAGAATGGAAAGACAAGAGAAGTCAAAAGTGGAGAAAAGAAAGAGGAACAGCTAATTCACCAAGAGAATAAGAAGATAAAATAAATTGCTATTTTGCTCAATGACAGGTTTAATATTTCATCATTCCGCCCAAATACAAAACTAATGGAAGCGTGTGTGTACATTTACTGTGTACATTTATACAGACACATATAAATACATACATATGTGTCTGTGTTTTTATATCAGTATATGTATGCACATACATTTGTGTAGATCCCAAACATGTATGAATAAATGCCAATGCATGTGCCACTTTAATTAGTTGAGTTTGATGGTTTGATAGTTAAATATATGATATTTGATATATTCTACATAGTATGTGCACGCGTGTGAGTGGGTGGCTGTGTGTCGTAGGCATACGGCCCTAATACTAGAATTGATTAAATTAACACTAGAATTGATTAATTTAGCACTAATGATGTTTTCTTTTGGACTGTTTTCAGTCCCAGACCAGACGACTTCCGTAGTTATAAAATACACGACTTCCGCAGTTACAAAATACACGACTTCCGCAGTTATAAAATACATAGAGACCAGACGTTTATCAGACCAGTTCAGACCAGACCAGCAAATTTCAGTCCAAAAGAAAACATCCTAAAATTATTTGAAGAATAATGCAATGCCGGTTGAATAATTGAAATCCAAATCTGTCAAATCGGATTCCACTAAAAGCATTTTGGACTTACTTCTTCTGCGCGAGTAAGTGGGTCATTCAAAACAATCAATTGGACCATATGTCCACGATGATTGTCTTCATCAAATATCCTATTCTAGGATCTTGGTATAGCTTGATATAGCTTAAAAGCTAAGCTTGGATTGAGAAAGTTAAATTCAAACTTCTTGAAATATGGAGGTATAGCAGGTTTACCTATGCATACAGACCTAAGTTCAGTCAAACATACATGTCCTTAAAAGGTAAGACATTTTAGTCAGTTGGGAACTTGGGCATATGGAGAAAAAGATAGAATCTTTACCTATGAAACTAAAACCGGCACATGTGACTTGTAAAATCAAGAATATATGAAAACACCAAATCAAGTGTGGTTAAAACTCCTGCGGCTGCAAAATTTAAGCCCAAATTGCAGTAGTTAGTTGAAAACTAATAGACAGCAAATAGTTATTTTTGTCTGCTTTTGGAAAACAGACTGAATAATAATCAAAATAAAATGATATACCAATATTCATTTGTATATTCAAAAGTACAAACTAAAAAGTTCACTAGTTAACTACACACAAGTGACACAAATAGACAATCTTTATTCTTTAACAGTTTATATAACTAATTAGTTATATAATAATATTTTAATTTCACTACAGGTTGACTGGTTGAGCATGTTATTATTTTTTATTCATTTCATCACTTATTAAATTAATTGATACCTTATAAACAAAATTATTAAATTAATTGATAACTTATAAACAAAATTAATCAATTACTAGATTAAATGACAGCAAAATCACATTCTCTTATGACTCATGACTGTATTACCGATTATTGCCTATTGGAGTTTGCCATCTTCGAACCGGAGTAAAATCATACACTGTGTATTTTAATAAATTACAAAATTACAGTGTATTTTAATAGATTACAGTATTTTATTAAATCATATACTATTACCCCAAAATATAGTAAAATACCTGAAATCCTCAGATTCGAACGTACGCTACAGAGAGTGCGATGACCAACAGAGCAAGGCCGTCCACCAGTCCAGGCGTCCAGGCGTCCAGCGTCCAGATTTCTGCAAGTTGAAAGAGATGGAATGCGGTCTCACCGGCGGGCGATGGCGTTCTGCGAGACTGCGACTCTGCGTCTGCGGCCTGCGGCGTTCTCCCGTCTTCGGTCTTCCCCAGTCGGGCAGTCCCCGTTGTAATGTTAGGTCACGCACTCACTGAGCACAAAACTTCTCTGGGCCAATTTCTAATTGGGCCTAATACTTTCTCAGTTCTTAAATAAATGCAACGGTCAACATTTCACACTTGCCGAGACACAACTTTGAACATAAATATAAATGATTTTGTATTAGTAAAAAAATTAAAAAAATTAGATTATGAAAATTTACAATGAGACAAGTTTAACAATATTTTTTTCATAAAATAATATTATTACATTAATAAATAAAACGTAGTCAAAGTAGAACATGTGAATAATGTAAAAGTCAAAGTGTTGCATTTATTTAAAAACAGATGTAGTATTATTTAAGGAGTACCGTTTGCATCTTTAGTTTTTACTCCCAGCTCACAATTCAGCTGGGGAGCAAAAAATTGTACTCCCTCTGTCCCGAATTGAATTTAAAACTTTGATCGGCACAACTATTAATGAATGACAATAAATGATGATTGTCTTTTACATTTGTATCTATCTTTCTAAAAGTAGATGCTTTTAAGTTAACCGGAAAAAAGTAAAAGTTCAGGTAAATTTGTCACTTTATTCTTATTTACATGCCTAAAATAGAAAGTGTAAAAACATTTTGGGACAATCAAAATAGGAAATTTTGCAAATCAAATTGGGACGAGAGAGTAATATTAGTATTTTTATTAAAAAAAATGGGGGGGTGGGGGGGGCAATGGCCCCCTTACCCTTGTAGAAATGTCCTTTCTGCTAAGCTTCAGGCTATCTTACATTCTCTAGCTCTTCAAGTTTGGAGTCAATCCCAAATAAATTTGGAAAGAGTTGAGATTGAGAATGATTCTAATGGTGCTGTTCAACTATAAAGTAAGGCCAGTCAGGGAGGATGGAAGCAGATTAACTATTTTTAGCAAAGGGGAACTGGTATGGGTAGCAAACAAGTCCCCTGTTGGACTTCGATTCTTCCTCTTACCATAAGGCAAAGATAGTGTCAGGGAACTAGAATCCACACGAATCCACGAGTTCAATGTTCTTTATAAAAATGAGTATTATGTATCGTTATCCTTTCTTTCTAATGTTATTACACGGGTCTATCGGAAGAACTAACGCATTGTCTACTCTTTGGGGGGGAGAAGAAAAGTGGTTCCAAGAAATGATTTATTTTGCTGGAACGACAATGTTTTTATAGTTATTTCCTTCTTTCATAGTCATATTGATTATAGTGAATTTGTATAAAGGATATTCCTTTACAAGATAAGTACAAAAAGTATGTTTTATTACAATGTCTATTAGATTTGGAATTAATAAGCTAGATAAGCAAATTAGTAACCCTTAAACAATACGCAGTACATTATTATTATCATATAAGAAATTAATATCACCCAGTCTATATTTTCAATAAATTTAGGGAAAAGTACGGAAAAGGTACTTGTGGTTGGGCTCATTTTCAGATAGGGTCATGTGTTTCATTCTCTATCAAAGTGGTTCATGTGTTTGAATTCCGTTATCACAAGAGGGTCACCCCGTTAAAAATGTCTGAAAAAGACCGTTAAAAGTAACTCCGATTTTCAAAAGTGCACAAAAAATTAAAAGAAAAATACCGAAAGGTGCGCCTCATCGAGATGAAGTAGATATTTGTAGGAGAACCATAAGGGTCCCGTCATCAGCGTCGTCGACCTTATCCGTCTCCACCCTCCAACGTCCCAAGAAATCCCGAAGGGTTTCCTCCTTCCGTTGTCTTACCGTCAGTAAGTGGGAGAAGTGTTTCCTTGACCGGTGCCTTCTCGCAAATTGTGTCAAGAAACGTTGGGCGAGTTCTTGCCATGAGTCAATGCTTCCCTCGGACAGTCGGTTGAACCATTCGTACGCCGTTCCTTCCAAGGTGGAAAGGAACCAATGGCATAAATATATGTATGACGCCCCCATCATCATCATGCTGTTTTGGTACCTGCTATAGTGTTCCTGGGGATCCGTCTTCCCCTCATTAGGCTTTATGGGTTGTCCCCGATACTTACCAGGGATCTGAGCTGCCAATACCCTCGGGGTGAAAGGCGTCTTTGTGCGAAGCTGGATGACAGGTTCCCCGGAGCCCTCGCTAGTTTCCTCTGCATCTCGTCCACCTTGGCCATCATGGCAGTGTATTTGGGGTCCGCCTGTGAAGCGGAAGCGGTCGTTTGGGCCTGATGGTCCTCCATCTCGTCGAGGCAGCACTGGAGGGCCTCAATAATCCCGTCCCTAGGGTCCTTCGGGAGGGCCTCCGCCCCCTGCGATTGTGCACGGGCGGAGTGAGCTTTGTTGATTTGGTGCCTGGCGTCATCAGCATGGAGCGGCCCCTTGCCCTTGTCCCAGGGGGCACGTCTCTCGTCTGCCCTCGAGACGGATCCTCCGCTTTCTTAAGGCCTTTGGAATGCCTTATCACCGAGGCGGTCTTGGATCCCTCGGCGATCTTGCACCCCTCCGAGTCTCTCGAGGGCGGATGTCCGGAGCCTATCTTTGTTCGCACCGCACTGGTCCCGGGACTGGACTTCCTGGGAGGCAGTGTCCTGAGCCACGACTCCCTTGTTGTCTCCGGTTCTTGGAACCGGGCGTACGAGGGGGCGGAGGTGGTGGAAAAGTGATGGCGTTTTCCCCTACTTGTGCCTGGGGTGGCACAAGTGCCCCGAGGGCGGCACGATTATGAGTGAGAGTGTGGATGAAGGCTGAAAAGCGGACTGCACGTCAATAGTAAGGACCGGAGGGCTCACTTAGTTTTCGCTCCAATCCTTCCTCTGAGTCTCGATACCGAGACGGGCATCGGGAGCGTTCTTCTGGAGCTGAAGGCGCATGTCAACAGCGACCTGCTCCATTTCAGCGAGGTCCCCGCCTTCGGGAGCTATGTTTGAAGCTTCAGCGGTGTTGATTTCACCGAGGCCCAAATTCTTTTCTTCAAGGGTGTTGGACTGGGCACGAGTGGCTCTTCCCATTTCGATAGGTATTTTTGCGTTTGGTGAGGGGAGGGTTTCTTACTTGATTGTTCGGACGTCTCAACGAGAGCACCAAATGATGGATAATGTACCCGGGGGTAGCTTATTTGAGGGGTTATTGCGGGGAATAACCTAAAGAGAGGTCAGAACAAGTAAGAGAGAGAGTGAATATGTAATCAATATAGAAAGTCGTGTCGGAATACAATGAAAAACGGACGCTATTTATAGTAGCCATAAATGTTAGGCAAGGACACGTGTCAAACATCTGACGGCCGAGGGTCACCTCAATCGGGGTGGCACCGGCATTTGCATGTGCACCGCATTAAATGTGATGGTTGGGCGTGACGCCGTATTAAATGTGGTGGTTTGTCTATCTCTAAAAGGAATCTTCGTCGAGTCTGTTGTATGCCGAAGGCCTCATGTAGTCGGAGGCTGTACCATATAGCCGAAGGCATCGTATACCCGAGGGCATGAGTTAGCCGAAGGCGAACATTTTAGCCAGAATCACCCAGAAGTTTTGCAGGTCCATATCAAGTTGTCTCATAGAACTTGGAGCCTTCGGCCACATGGCCGAAGGCATCCACATGTGCTCCGTGGGCTTCTTCATGCCTGGGCCGCTACGTTTCGGCTTTGTGTGCTCATTGGGCTTGGTGGGCCTGTGTAGGAGAAGTATGAGTCTGTGGGCCAGGGGTCCCTGGGCCATGTACTCCATCAGAGGTGTTTGCACATGTCCCTCATCATCATTGTTATTAGCATTGACATCAATTTGCGCATTCGAGTTGTGTCTCGGGGGTGGGGGTCTCGTACCACTCTTCCGTTAATGAAAGATTTTGTGTCCCTTCGATATCGATGGTTTGTCGGGAGAAATTTGCGGTGACAATCAAAGTAACTTGGTTTCCCGTTGAATTTGAGCCAACTGGCACCTGATTTCTCCATACATATCGAACATCCCAAAACACCGTGTGTGCTCCATCCTGAAAGCTACCATAGGCAGGGAAGTCGTTAATGGTCCAAATGATGACAGCTTTCATGATAAACACCTCATCTCTTGAAACATCATGAGTTGGTGTCCCAATGACCCAAAGTTCTTTCATCTCCTCGATAACGGGTTGGAGATAGATGTCTATCCTTTTTTAGGATCCTTTGGACCTGGACAAATTAAAGTCAGAAAGATGAAATGACTTTTCATGCACATGTCGGGAGGTAGATTGTAGGGAGTTAAGATGATTGGCCAACATGAAAATTTCTTCCCAAACTTTCCAAAAGGAGCGAATCTGTCTGAACACAATCCCAGTCGCACATTCTGTGGCTCCAATGCAAACTGAGGATGACGGCGGTCAAAGTGTCTCCAAGCTTCACAGTCTGAAGGGTGAGACATCAAACCCTCTTTGGTTTTGTGCTCAACATGCCATATCATGTGTCTCGCAGTAGCATTTGAAGCATATATCCTCTTTAGACATGGAGCTAGTGGGAGGTAAAACAACTTAGACAATGCAGACCGATATCGTGGTTTTTTTTCTTTAGAGGAACATGTTTGTATCTCTCTCCACCACAGAACTTGCAGCTCTTAAGTGTCTCATCATCCTTCCAGAACAACATACATCCTTTAGGGTAGACATCAATTTCAATACGAGGAAGCCCTAACTGAGAAATGAATTGCTTCATGTTGTAATATGAATCGGGAAGACAGTGGTCACGCGGTAGCATTCCTCCAATTGACTTCAACAACCTAGACATGCAAGTTTCTGGAAGACTGTACTCAGCTTTAATGTTCATCAACTCTGAAACAGCGGATAGCTGAGAGTATCCCTCACCATCAGCATACATAGGTTAAATGGTTGATACGATGTCGAGGCTTCAGGAGGATCGTTAAATGGTTGTGGAGGGTTAAACTGAGATGTCGAGACACCATATACATCATATACCATTCTTTGGTACCAGTTCATTTGAGCATAATCTCCCCACCCACTCATCTCATTAGGGACGTTACGAGACGAACCTAGTGGTTGTGGTAAAAGTGATGGCTCGAAAGGTTCGACATGCGAAGTCCAATTGTAATATAATAATTGTCAACGAAACCTTGTTCATACAAATGCCACACAACCTCGTCG